CGTCACTCTGGAAATCAAGGTCTACAATGAAACATCATATCGACCTTTACGCCTAATTTCCACATCCAACCAGAACTGAAACATGTTTGGATACAATGTACCATGAAGTGGTAATATACTACGAAGTCTCCTAAGGGTCCTTATTTTTTAACCAATGAAGTCGCCTTCTATCATGAAGTAGTAATTCTTATCCTATGAAGTGGTAATATACCATGAAGTATCTTAACACACGTCTTATGCTGTATGAACTACAGTTAGCGGTTAATTCCAAAATGGGCTTGGGTTAGTCGGCGACTAGAGCGGTGCGATTTGAAAAATATTCGGACTATCGTTACCAAAATAACCAGCATGTGATGAAAGCTTAAATAAACCATTATAATGAATACCCCACCATCATCCTGATGTTCAATTGTTCATTACTTCCGGAAAAAATAAATGAACATCAATACCTTAATGCATTTTATCAAAATATGAAAAAAATGTTTTAAAGTAAAAGTGATAGTTGTTTCGTGTCTTTAGTAAACTAGTGAATTTTCCTAACTTGTTTTTCAGAATTATATTCCAATTAACTTCCTCGCAAGGTCAGCTAACACAAGGATGAATAAGTCCCGCTGTAAAGATGATGGTGTGAATCAACTATGTTGACAGTTCACGGTACCCTGTTATAGATAGAGATAGCTATAGCAGTTAAAGGTGACCGTGACTTCGCGCGCACGCGTGTGTGAGAGAGAGTGACTGAAACAGTTGAAAACGTTACAACCTTAAAGTTAAACAAATACACCCTACGTTTATTAGGCGTCAAGCACGTCAAAGCGTGTAACATGTTAATAGGCTAAACGTGCTTAGGTGCTAAACTCGTGGAAAAAATGAGACAAAACAGGCGCTTAGAAATGTGTCTCAGAGCTATACTGTTTTTACAGTGTTTTAGCTCTTTTTCTAAATTTTGAAAAGCCCCCTAAGAAATATCTACTTTACCTTATACCTGATTTTTTTAAAGTTACTACATACCTATTAGGGCAAATATTGCCTGTTTTGTTTAAATAACAAGAATAATACAAGAATAAAATAATATATTAAAAGAATAAATTTTAAAAAATACGCTACACCTACGTCTTTTTGCTGTTTACATAAAATCTTAAACTAATGAAGTTTTTCACAATGTATTTATTGTGAAATATGGATCCCATTCGAAGAGTTGTTATCCTTGAGATAAAATTAGCTATAAAGTTGATGATACTATTTAAAAACTCCAGTAACCTTATGCTTAAGAGTTTTTTTCTTTTGGTATTTTTCGTTGTAGTAGATTGTGCCCGCTTGATCAATGGTTCTGGTGAGACTAGTTAGTTGTATAGTCAGTTGGCATTTAATTTTTTTTTAATCAAGAGAAACATGTTACCAAAAGTGAGTTCTACGGAGACAGAACTGTACGGAGACGTGCAGCTAAACTTTGTATAGAAAGCAGCTTACCATTTGAAAATTAGGTATTCTAATGAATAGGCTATTGCAATAAGCAAGACTAGACTAAAAATAATAAGCACAGGGATGACTTGTTCTGTTTGCTTACTAGCAATAATGTTAGATATTCGTTGCAGGCTAAAATATGATGCTTATAAGTGATATAAGTGATATCATCCCATATTTGTTGTAAAAAGACTTCTAACTTGTCTCTGCTTGTTTTGACAACATAATATCCAACTCCGGTATCTAATGTGGTTCTGTTTTTTAAAAACAACGGTTTAAATGGACTTTATTTTATCATCCTCAAAAGACTAAATAATTTGACTTGATCCAGGATCTGAGTTCATACAAGAAAGATCCATTGGTTGCCTTTAAATCACAAGGTTTTTCAAACACACCATGGATCTGAAAATATCCGCATATAGCATAAAATTGAAAGTATTGAATATAGGTATGGGTATTCAAAATTAACGATAAGCATGTACATTCCACTTTTCCAGCTCGAACATTCCTTGTGTTAGAGTACCTTGGCAATGGTAACCTTAAGACATATCTTCGTAAAAGCCGCAGTAGCAACATCTATGGTAATCTGCATGGCGGAAGTGGCAAGCTGACGTCAAAGGATCTACTGTCTTTTGCTTTAGGTTCTGCCAGCGGAATGGCCCACATAGCTAAACATAAGGTGGTTCTATTGCATCACACTGTATGCAGAATATATGTATTAAATATTTGTCAATTTAACTAGTGTGACATTGGTTGCTACTGTTAACATTTTAGTACAGTATTCTTTTTTTAATCCATAGGTCAACCCTACGATAAAAAAATGACACACCCATTCAGCTTTTGTTAAGAATTTAGAATGTCTTTTAAAATTAAAATCAATTTCAGCAAATAAGTATAATATCCTTTCATTCTTAAACAATTTGCTTCGCTGTTTTCACGTGTAAATAGCAGCAGATTTTCATTTGCCACTCACAGTTCCTGCACCGTGACCTGGCCGCCAGGAACATACTGGTCAGTGACCACATGGTGTGCAAGGTGTCCGACTTTGGTCTGGCTCGTGACGTCATTGACAGCAGGGAGTATCTCAGCAGGATGGAGGTAGGGATGCGGTACAAGTGTTTATAATTGATTGATTTATATATATATTATAGATATTTCGATTGTGAAAGAATGGTTGGTAGCATTAATGTACGTGGTATGTATGTTTTTGGGAAACTTATACCTGCATCATGTGGTGGAAGCTAACATGCGTCAAACGTGTTAGAAGGAAAACCCTAACTTCCAGTCAAACTTTAAAAATAACCACCTCAATTTTGTTTACCAAAACCCTCTTCCTTGTAGTGTACAGACCAATATTTATTGTACAATTCGTTCAGTTCTTCTAAATTTTATTATTCTAGGCCTTTTACATTGTGTTTAATAGATTATAAAAAAGTAAAAATCATAAAAAGTCTTTGTTCACCAGACCCCTCTCCCTATCCGCTGGATGGCACCAGAATCCATCTCTGACAGCGTGTATACCACTAAGAGTGATGTCTGGTCGTTTGGCGTTCTTCTCTGGGAGATTGTAACTTTAGGTATGATACAAGTTTTAGCTAATGTCACTGCCTGAAATAATATTTAAAAGTCATTTTAACGGCGTAAAACAAGTCTGTCAAAGCAATGTACTGTGAGATGAACATGAGATGTAATTATATGATCATGTTCGAATATGATTACTCAAGCAGAAATAGTTTATTGTGTATATCAAATCATCTTAATTGAAATATTCATATTTTAATTTGTTGTGCGTTTTTTTATCATTATTATTATTATTATTATTATTATTATTATTATTATTATTATTATTTTGGAGATTAAAGAAATTGGTAATTAAATCACGAAAATTTTGTGATTTCTGGAGATCGAATGTTCCTTCAACGCCCATTGAATATAGTGTAGATCTAAAGGCGATTTCTTCTGGCCTTATCAAAATGTTTATTTATATTTTCATAACTGCTGACGTATACAGGGGCTACCCCCTACCCTGGTATTACGTCTGGACGAGAACTAATACGTGAGATCAGGTCAGGATACAGAATGGAGAAACCTCAACACTGTACACAGGAACTGTAAGTGTAGTAACAGTTGATTTGTAATGTACAAATTGTTGGTAAAATTCGAATTTACGGACAGGGATAGTGGGAAATGGTATGGAAAAAGAAATATAAAAAAGTAAAAATGTATACATGAATATGCACCCATTAACTTGTATCGCAGATAAAATTTAACTGCCTACATTGCTGGACTAGTTTGTGCCACAAAAGTTATAATGATAAAATGATATAGATATAATTCATCCCACGAATTTTTGCGATTTACCCCTGATATTATTTTGCTGGGGCACGGCATGTGTCTAGTCGAATAAATGACATAAGAAAGTTTCTTTAAAACACGATTACTGAAATTCCAAATAATGAAACAATGATATTGACGAGACTCTATGATGCGTAAGGCTAATATAATACTTGTATGTTTAGGTACAATATATGCGATTTTTACTCGTCATTTCTCTTCTGGGCAGAACATTTGTCTGACCCGATATACGGTATTAGAAAGTTTTTTTAAACCCTATTGCTGAAATTCCAAACTGAAAAATAATAATTATGATGACACTCTTTGATGCGTAAGGCTGATATTATACTTACATGTTTAGGTACACTATGATGATGATATGTTGGGAGGAGGAACCGACAGAACGTCCGACGTTCGACAATCTTGTCACCAGTCTTAGAGACATGGCTAATGAAGAGATGAAACTTCACGTGGACGTAGACAGAGCTGCTGAGGCCGTATACTGTGATATTGACAACCAGCTGGTTGGAGAGATAGTTTAATATGGGAATACCCAGTACCAAGATTTTGAAATACGGCAATACGTGATTGTTATCTTAACTAGACCAAAACACTTAATTATTATTTCCCAATCGCAATCTGTTAGTTTAATAAGTAGGTCATGTGTGTGATGAGTTAAGAAAGCTGGTTGGAATTATGCAAAAGATGCTTTAGAAGCTTTTGGACTTAGTTACATTTTGCCGTTTGTCGGTGCCGTGCTCCTATATACAAGTTTATACTGCCCATATATCCCTTTACTTTGCGGCAGTCGTGCGTATGTTATCGAATGGATTCACGGCCTCCGTAAATTCTATGATTTTATCAAGCTTAAACTTTTGACATTACTTAAATTTAAGCCCTTAGAGTCTAAGGGCTTAAATTTAGACCGTAGCCATATCGTCGATGGCATTACACAGTTACCACACGGACATGATGATGGTTGAATCTACAGTATATTTGAAAAAAAAAACGGTGTTTTTTTCTATAGCTATTGAATTTATTCCAGCAGTTCGCCTAATTACGTACTTTACTGAACTGTAGATTCTGTACCACATAGACTACATTGTGTATGTCACAAATAGGACATAGATCACATGGATAACGGTAAATATCACAAACTGAATCTGAAAACTGAATGTTTTGCTGATATTTATAATTTGAATGGGTTGATCTTGACCACAGTTGCACGTGTGCCTATATTTATGACGTGAATTTAGAATAGTTTGATCTGTATTTTATCAAGTGCATCTTTTACGCTACTAAAAACAATATCATAAAACTGCGCGCTTTATATCATAATGACACTTTCACGCCATGGTTTTAAAAATGGAGGCTTTTTCATTAGAAATATGATATATATGGGATGAGATTTTGCTAGGTCTTAATATATAATTTTTCTAATTTTTTGTAGTGCATAATGTCCATTTTGTGATATCAGAACACTTATATGCAATTCTATATATTACATCCAGCTCTAAATGATACCTTTAGGTTGTTCGCTAAAAGTTTGCTTCTGTCATACAATTCTTTGCATCTGTTAATGAAAGTATCTGTATATCTATATCGTAACAGAAAGGCGGGTCCAGGAAATAAACGGGGACTTGCACTTCTTCCTAAATAATAAAACGAGCTACAAAACTAGGCATTTTTTCATCCCAGCGGGCAACAAACCATAGCTTGATTGTCCTCTCCCCCCCCCCTCCCCCCAACACACGCGCACAACACGCAAAACTCCGGATTCGCCAGTGAGAAAGCAATGGGAGTGTCAAATGTTATTTCTGCAGACGCAAACATTATATGCTCCTTCCCCCCCTGCTTAATATAAAGATTTAAGAACAATTTGATAATAAAGCACTTTCTCGTTATTGTTGAGATTTTGCTGATAAAGTTTTGGTTCGGTACTCATACTTACATCAATGGCTTTGTACTTAGTAAGTACTGCTTACGCGTCTCGATTTAAGGCAGTGCATTCTGTGCCAAATGATGATTAGCGTGTAACTTTTTTATCAGCATTTGTGTTAGTTTAACTTAGAGATGGAAATGCCCCTTTGTTAACATATACCTGTACATGTAGCAAATATTAGGAAAATATTCAAAATAAAGAACATGCAAATGTTACTGAACCAATATCCAGTAACAAATAAACGATTTATCACAAGAATGCAGACGAAAAAAATGTGCATTATTTTTTATAAAAAGCTGAAAAAACACGATTGTCGAGGTTTTGAGCATGTTCAAAACAATCGCAGAGAGAACGCGATGTAGGATGGTCGATCAATGGACGCAGAAAGGACGCACGGGCATCGCCGTAGTCGCAGAGAGAACGCAAAAGCATCGCCGCGGTCGCAGAGAGGACGCACAAGCATCGCCGCGGTCGTAGAAAGGAGGCACAAGCATCGCTTTGGTTGCAGAATGAAAACTCAAAGATCGTCCAGTGTTCGACACGTAGAACGTTATTTTTTTTCACTCTCAAACGGGGCCGTGCTGAGGTATTTTTCACCAGAAAGGAATTCGAAGGGTAACAGTGGTATCATATCAGCCTCCGATTGTTTTTTCCCCTAAAATTCATGAAACGATCCATTTTTTGAGGTTATTATTAAACGAATATTTTGCCTTTTTTACAAGATTAATTGTCAGAACTTTTTGCAGAATGCTTCATTTGAAAACGGATTCAAACATTCTATGTTGTGTCAGTCATACTTTCTCGTTTTCGGTCCCTGTCCATCCTTCTTATAAGGATAACAATGAGCATCTGGCTGATTATCAGTCCATGCAGACCTTGCATCACTATAGTTTAAAGCGTTTATTCCCATTTATTTGTTTTGTGTGCTGGAAATGTTCTTTATTGGATGACCTGGTTAGAACCGATGAAAAGATGAGTTAGAATATAGAGAAGGACGCCCAAATAACGCTCATCGGTCAAGCAGGATGCAGAATGATCGTAGAATAGACGCCACTGATCGCCGATGAAGGTACAGAGAACGCAGCAAGAATGCTCAATGGTCTCTCAAACATCGCAATGGACGCCTTGGGTTGCACAGGGGACGTACAGTGGAGGCAGGCAGGTTGCTCGCAGTTTTACAGGTAAAATCAAGATACGGTCGTTCAAAGGACGCACAAGGGACGCAGACGCCTTTACAATGAGACACGATTTAATTGCTTTGGCGACCGTTGAGCGTCCTGACCACATTTTTGAACGCAGAAGGGACGCAGAAAGGACGCCGTCCAGTGTAAAGGGGCCCTAAGCAATCACTTCACCCAAACTCGATACGGAAATGATCAACGACTGTGGTATCACTACGGTTATCTGGTTACCATGGAAATGTCACCGAAAGGCTAGCAACAGACATAACACTACACACACGAACCGTCAATTTCTAAAGATTAAAAACATACAATTCTTATCTTAACG